GGCATTCCACATGCTGTTCAGTCCTTCATGCTGGCCAGAGGGGTTCTCAGGGCAGATGCAGGTACAACTCATGCCTCTGCCCAGGCAGTGCTGGGGCCAAGCCAGGCGCTGATCTCTGCTCAGACTCAGCATGCACAGGGAGGTGGGGTTGGGGAAGGGTGCTCTCTCTGGCCCCGCAACAGCATGCACATCTCCACAGATGTTGCACATCTAAAGGCCCCAACCTACCTCAGACACTGCTCTACCTGTCCCCACCCCCTGCAAGGGCTTCACCTTCACCTTGCAAATGTGAACTGAAGGCTCCTTGCAGTTGTGAAAGAACAACATGCACAGATGAACTTTCTAAAACCTCCTGACATACCAGGTCCATCCCCTGGCTTTGCACTTACCACTCCTAACTCATCCAGTGCTTGGAGGTCTCTCCAGTACTGCAAGACCAATTCCCACAGTGAGCGATTCCACCCCTTCCCTAACTGCTTTCAGAAATGCATCTTTTTAATGTGTCTTAACCACATTCCCTTCAGCTGCACCAGGACCTCTGTCTGTCATCCATGGAGCCTGAGAATGGCTGGATCCCAGGTCGTGGTGAACACCCACAGCCTGCCGGACTCCTAGCCAGTGTGTCCTCTCCTTCCTCTTGGGATATGTTTTCCTGGATATCGGGGGAATGGAAAGTGGGGAAGCCCTGGGCTGGGTGCAAGGGGAGCCTCACCTGGAGCCCTCAGTCTCCTGCTCCTGCTCCAGCTCCTGCTCACTGGCCTTCATCTGCACATAGTCCTGTACAAGTGCAGCCAGCAGGAGGCGCGCTTCCTCCTCACTGAGTGTGGCCAGGTCTGAGCTACTCTCCAAAGCAGACCTGCAGAGGGGAAGTAGACCAATGCAGGCTCTGAGCCCCTGCTTGCCCCCTCCCCAGAATAAGGGGCCAGGCTTCCTTGCCCCTGCTTCTTCCCCTGAGGATGTGGCTACTCCGACACCCAGTGGACAGGGCAGGAAGCCAGTGTCCACTTGAGGAGCTGATTCACCAGGAGCCAAGTGTAACTTCAGAGACACAAATCTGTCTCATCCCAGGGGCAGTGGGTACCGAGCGCGCTCCTAGCTTCAGGTTGTCTCACCTGAATGGTTCTGCCTGGAGGCTGCCCGCCTGGCACAGGACCAAGATGCTGAGAGCCAGGAAGGGGGAGAACTTCCAGAAGCCCATGACGCCTCTCTGTAAGGGGAGAATGACATGACGTTATCAATGCACCAAGACCACTAGAACCTAGTGCTGCCTCTGCCACAACTGCTGTGTGACCTCAGGCAAGTTACTCTACCTCCTTGTGCATCTGTTCAGTTCATTTACCAGATGGGCTGCTGTGAATTTCAAAAGATACATTACAGTGCATGGCTTGGTAGAGCAAAAACAGCTGTGTGGGGGGGACGGGGATAGATTTTGGTTCTGTTCTGTGGAAAATCAGAGAGAATCCCT